ATAAAAGTAGTAAGCACACAAGAAAATTGGAGATCTTATCCTAGAGCTCCAATGGATAGGGAAGGCAAAGGATTCAAAGCTATCACTGGTGTACTACACCTTGGTTCAGCCAATAAAGTTGTCAGCAAAGCTAACTATTATATAATAAAAAAAAAAGTGAGAAGGCAGCTGGGATCTGTGAAATGTTTTCTCAGCATCAAGCCAGCTACTGACCACTAAAGTATTTGACGCTTGTTTGATAGATGAAAGGGAAAATTACATGCTCATAATTCCTGCTGTCATAGTCCTCAAAACCTACCCCAATTCCAGAGACATTCAAGGACAAACATGATGGTTTCTTCTACCACAATATACGGAGGCAAAAGGTCAGTCAACAAATTCCTGGATCTGTCAGCCTCAGTTGAATTCCTTCCTTTACAAAGCCACCTGTAAAGGACTTCAGGATAATGAAAGAAACAGAGAGCAAGATGGAATATGTAGTTACAAACGGGCCTCTGAAACAGGAAAGTGAGCAGGGTAGATGAGAAAAGACAGGGCTGTGAAGTAGAAAGTACCAGCACGTAGTTTTCTGCTCTAACGTTCTCTTTTCTCTGCTCCTAAAACTAGCAGAGGCAGCTTCCACAGACATGAGACTATGTTGTGTTACTTGTAAGATCTTACAGCTCAAGAACTCACATCCAGCTGCTGTTGCTTTTTGAGGGCATGGAAAGACAACCAAAAACTTACATGGTAAGCTTCTAATACAGAAACCTCATCTCTTTCTAAGTCATAAAATAGCAACAGCCAGGGAATTCACATGCAGGTAACTAGTCTGAATACACATGATCAAGCAAAATTCTCTGATCTATGGGGGGAACAGTTTGCAGAGACAGTTTTCTTCCTAAAACTATCCTGACAACACAGAAACAACTGTTGAAACTCCAAAGACCTTGAAGAATGAGATTTAAGAATAAGAATTTGAGACACTTCAGAATAAAAATTTCAAAAAAAATCAGTCTGGGGGATAGGCAAGGCAAGAGGCTGGAATGGAAAGAATCGTGAATTAATTTCCATGGCAAACGTCTAATGACTGTACAGTAGGGATATATTTCCTATAAAATCAAAGGGAGCTTCACTTTCAAAAGGTAAGAAGTAACATGCATGGATTTATTTTCTAGCTGAGGGCAGGAAATAAGAATTTCTAGCTTTGATCTTGTCTTGGTTTCAGATGGGACAGAGTTGATTTTTTTCCCACTTGATGGTACAGTGCTGTCGTTTGGCTTTGGTATGAGAATATTGTTGATAACGCACCCATGTTTTTTTAGTTGTTGCTCAGTAGTGCTTTCCCTAAGACAAGGACTTCTCAGTTTTCCATGCTCTGCCAGTGAAGAGGGGCACAAGCTGCAGGGAGAGAGCACAGCCAGGACGGCTGACCCAAACTGGCAAAAGAAGCATTCCATACCGCAGCATGTCATGCTCATATATTCCTCCTCTCTTTTTTTCCCTATTACTATTTCTATTATTATTATATTTTACTTCATTTCCATTATTAAACTGGTCTTATTTCAACCAATGTGTTTTACCTTCTTCCAAGTCTCCTCCCAAACAGACCCAAGAGCAGGGAATGAGGGTAGGAGTAAGCAAGTGGCTGTGTGGTATTAAGTTGCCAAGTGGAGTTAAACCATGACAGATCCGAAGTAATTTAAACTGTAAAAAAGATAGTAAGACCTCTGGTGGAACCCTGTAGGATCTCAAAACAGAAAGCTCACCTTCCTGTTTTAAAACCCACGAAACTTTGTCCCCTTCCTCAAGGACAGTTCTGATGTACCTTACATTATACTGCAACAGATAAAAGACACCTCCGTCAGAATGACCCTGCATTTGGTCCTTCACCAAAAATTTTAATAGGGGGATCCAGGGCATAATGATGGCAAGGGTTTAATAAGGACTGTATTTCCTTTTGTATTAAGATTATGCAAGTCTGATGAAGTATGTAAACACCTTCTGGACAAAACAAGAAATTCTAGACCTGCTGGAAGGCTCAATAAAATGTTACATTCCACAGCAGTTTGGCCAATATTATTATACATCCATCTTTCCTGGAGTAAAAAAAAAAGCCTATGAAATAATTTAAGAGAACCTGATAAAAAACAAGAATCTCAGAAGAGGAAGAAATGTTTAATCAAGCTAAACAATGTAGAGAAGAAAGAAAAGCCAGAAAAACAGGTTTCTGACAAAATCATTGTGCTCTGCTTTGTGCAGAACTCAGTGCTCTTGGTTTAAGTTATAATGGTGTGAACATGCCTAATGGATAGCTCTTCAAGAGTCTCAGTTCAGCCATACCAAGCCTGTGAATGCTATATAAGATGGACACTGAAAAAAATGCTCAGCTCTGCTAAAAGAAAAGCATCATCAGCTAAATAGTAGCTAAAATTTAAGGGGTTTATAGAGCCTTAATGGTGAAAATTTATCTGCCTGCAGCCTATAGGCATCCAGCAAGTTAGGTAGGAAGCTGTGGGTAGATCTATTTGATTCAGATGCATCCATATTGCCCAAGCTACATTTCCAGATAAAAGTCCTTTTTCTGAAACTGACTACCAGTCTTCTATTTCTAAAGTTATCCAAAATAAAATGTGACAAAAAAAGCCTTAAAAAGGTGACAATGATCTGAATTTGACATTTTAGTCCATGGGCTTCTCAAGGAAACTTTCAAGGGTAACATTTCAGAACTACAAGAGAAAGAAGTTAACTGCCTAACTTTCTCAATTCTTTAGAAAGAGGATTTGGCATATTACTCTGTTTTCCTTATGCAGAGAGCTGTGGTATCATACAACATAGCATCTTTTATTTTTATTACACAGGTAAGAATTACCACTGACAAAACACCATCTCAAATGTTGGAATACTGTTTAACCATCATGACAGAATATAAGGTTTGTAGGTCTTGTTTTGCAACTGACTTACAAAGCTCATATTATACCCTTCATTTTTTGGGGAGGGGGGTGAAGTTGTTTGGAGGAGTTTCTCTTTTTATAAATGCTTTTTATTTTTTCAGGCTTACAAATGTCAGTATAATCTAAACAACAAATGTGCTTTATACCAGCAACAAAATTATACAGCAAGCCAAATTTCTGTAACTGCAACTTTTACTTCCTCTTCCTACAATCTCTGTATGGCAGAAACATCACAGTACTGATTCCTTCTCTAGCGTGCAAAAGGATGCAGCATGTTTAAATGTTTAACTAATCAAGTGTTCCATCTTGCCACCAATTTTGTAATTATTTAAATATGTCAGTATAGCTATTTGTATATCAAAGGCCAATGATATCCAAAAACTTATGAAAAGTTTATGTCTACCTTGTTTTTAATTTAAGGAAAAAATTGACAGATTAATACTTTTTCAGGCACAGCAATATTAGTGTAGTTAATTTATGCAGCACACATCTGATTTCCCAATTTAACTGTCATACCTTGTTTAACCCATTTGTTTTGCCTGTATTCTGCTAAGACATGGGGATTTCATGTGATGGGCATGTCATTTACATAACAGTGAACATTATATTAATTCCACAGAAATCTCCAAATGACTTCTAAAGCAAAGTTATTCTGGATTTGTTAAACTGATTATGTGAAGAACAAATGACTGATGATTTGAAGATAAAATTTAGTGTATAAACGTTGTCATCTATGACATTTCACTATGCTAAAATCATAAAGGCCTGCCAGATTTCATTGCATTCATAATTAGAATCATTACATTGTAATTCAGGATGTGTTTTTCATAGAGATGAAAAGAATGAGTTTTAATACTGCCAAAGCCAGATAAACCCAACAAGCCTACCTATGCAAGACAGATGTCAGTTCAGATATTTATTTTCCTTTTCATAATGCAATTATAAACAATATTGACACCTGAAAGAAAAAATTATAATACTACAAAGAATTCAAACTTCACAAGAAGCACACCTAAAGCAAGAGTACCTGTACACAACTGTTTTTAAAAATTAGCTTTAACTTATAATTCTAGCATCTTCATTTCATGGCACACAAAAGTTAATAGGACAAGAATACTCAATAAATCAACCAGAAATGGGAAAAAAACATTTCAGAAGTTAGTATGCAAGAGTTTAATCGAAACAGTCAATCTGTATTTATAACAAATATTTTGCCACATAATTAAATGTGCAAACAGAAAACGTCAGCAAACAGAAAAAATTCTCCAAAGTACAATAAAATCTAGATAGCAACCTTCAACATGGTCTCACACAAAATTTCCTTGTCCTGAGGTCTTTTATATCTTATTTTTCTTACAAGCATATTTCTAGACTACAGTGGTTGATATAATTTAGGACCTGACTAGGTAAGATGTAACTGAAGGACTCCAAAAGAATGCCTCAGCATCGCTTTACCAGTTTGCCCTCAGAAAGCTCCAGTATTTGCACACCAGTTGACAAAGCATGCACAGCTGTGTACAGCTGAAAATCATACCAAAACCTAGATTCTCAATTTATTTACCCCATGTTAATTTAGTATGCACTGTTAGATGGCCAAATATTGCAGGAAGATAAAAAGAGTAAACTTAAGGAGAGGAGAACAGTATACTGTACAAAAAAAATATGTTCAGTTTTCAGTATGTTTTAGCCAAACATTTATTTCAAATTTTTCATGGATCAAATTTTATCATGTTCACAGATGAAATTCAATATTTTCAATATTTTATAAAACAGTCCATGTTAAATCATGACTGCTTTAATCCAAAATGTTTCTGAGCAAAGAGACAGTAGTTAAATGTTGGGTTATGATAGACATGACCTTATGTCTTTTGTAATAAATTGCAGATTACATTTCTGAAATGCTGTCAAATTATTTCACACCTAGTGATTTTCCTTCATTGGACATCTGATACTTGCATGCATCATCTGGTATTTTTCAGCAGTCTCCATTTATAATAAAAGCAGGAGTATAATAGCAGAGCAACTTCTCTGTAGAGTCTCTAAATTAATAAGATAAAACTGATTTACCATGTTCCACCCTGGGTAGAGGTAGTCTGTCCCAACAAATTCAAAGTAGTGAGCAAATCCTTCTTTCAACCACACATCCTCCCACCAAACTGGAGTCACAAGGTCACCAAACCACTGCAAACAAAATACAAATAAATAACCTTTAGGAAACCACATTTGCATATACCCTTAACTCACAACACATTCTATTAAATGTATCTGTTTAATAAAAACAGTAATAGAGATCACCCACTGAAACTCATTAACTGTTTTTTCATATACTGATGAATTAAGCCTTTACAGGATGCATAAATTACTGGAGTAAAACATTAGAAAAGAACAAGCAGGGGAAAAGAATCATTGAGGAGAGTACTCACAGATCTACTAGTAGAAACTCACCTAGGTTTAAGGATCTTACATATACAGAGGACAGAAAAAGGCTTCTGACTCAAGTAATTGGATTCATTACCTGGAAATTTCACTATGTATAGAGCAAATCTTAAAAAACTGGGAACACAATCTCCATACCCCAGATCTAAATTTTAGCATTAGCTTCTCCATGACGTCTGCCCTCTTACATTTCCCAAACTAATGATGCTCCATCTGTTGGTCAGTTTCCTAAGGAAAACAGTTTTATACAACCATGCCATCTCCCTGTGGGTAGGACTCACACGCATAAAAGCAAGTAGTTGATGCTACATAAATGAGGGCACCCAAGATACCCACACAGGCCTAGGAAATTTCATACAGGACTTGCAGGAGATCTGCAGCCTTCCCAAACAGGAACCAGAGGCAGACAATATCTAAAACAGGCCACCTATGTGTATGCAAGGGAACCCTACCCGAGCTGACTGCCTTTCCCATTATCCCATGTCACTCTTGAATTTCCCTACTGACTTCCATCTAATTTCAAAAGAATGACAGAGATCGCAAGGATAATTAAACTCCTACAACAGTAAATGAAGATCAGGCAGCTGAAAAGAGGAGAAGGACCTAAACTGGGGCAAGGCAAGAACATGGACATTAGATACTCTGCTCAGTAGCCACAAACCTGCCATGGCACAGGACACATGAGTGTCAAGATGGACTTTAGATAGAGCTAGGTTGATCAGTGGGAGAGGAATGAGGATAAGAATTCAAAGGAAATCAGGCAATCACAAATTATCAATTTTTCTGCTGACGGATGGCCCTATTAGATTACTCTAATGGCTCTGTGTAACCTGGGTCATCGTAACACCAGTGGTAAGAGCAGAAACACATATATTGTTATGAAAACATATTTCATCTTCTTTATAGCATCCTTCTGCCAAGCAAATACCAAAATTTTATTTCAGTAAAATTGTCTGCCAGTTTTTAATTAACAAGATTAAAAATTAGATTAATTCATAATCAACAGAGATAATTTTGAGTTTTCATGGAGTTGGTAAGCTCTGAAAATAATGGAAAAGAAGAAGCAAATAAGTATTCCAGAGGGAGAGACTCATGTCAGAGGACAGGAGCTGCTGCTGACACTATAATGAGAGTGAGGAACAAATAAAAGCGGAGTTGGCCAGTAAGAGGTTTGCTTTCGTGATGGCTGGCTTATAGGCTTTGTCTGGGACCTGAATGAAAGGTCTCGCTCCTGTGCATGTCTTTGTGGAGTGAGAATAGGGCCAAGAAAGGATCAATGCTGCAATGAGGATTCATAGTAAAGGAAACGCGTGGGCTCCAAAGAACAGACTACAGAAACTGAGATTACCAGATTGCCACACAATATGCAGTAAATAGGATTTGAATGGCAAAATGAAGTGAAGCATGACAACGAATGTCACTGACAAGTTAAGAATTTAGGGAGAAGAGATGAAGTTGACAAAAGTAATATACATTAAGTGAAACTAGCTTAATGGACACTCTGTGAGCATTATCCAGTTGAGGACTAGATAATATATTAATAAATTAACCCTCTACAGGACCAATACAGATAGATAAACTATAAATGACTATCATACAGATAATGAACACAATTTGAAATGTTAGAGTAGCATACCACCAGAGAACTATGACAGTTATATTTATACAATAACAGGTTGATTAAATGATTTCTAATGACAGACTGAACACCACAGCAGAGTTTATTTCTTGAATTACAAGAGGACTGCTGAACAAATATGAAACCAGCAATAGTCATTGTATGATGTGAGTATTCAGAGAGAGATTTAAGAAAATAAGGTTGTGAAGTTCATAATACATCTTCCAGCAACTCAAAAGAATTAATAACTTTAAGTACCGTGTCACAAAAGAGAATTTCTTATAGTCTTCTATGAGTTTTCTGGGTATATTTATTAATGAGACAATTAAAAGTATTAATTTAATTATTCACCAAAAGGAAGAAGTGTTTTACAGGCATTATAACAGCATGTGATACCAATATGAAAACATAGGGAATTTGCTTAACTAGTCTTGAACAGTATCAAAGTTAGTTATGAATGTCACACAGAGCAGTCCCAGACTCTGCAATTAATGAAGCCAAAATTTCCAGTAGAAAGGTGCTATTATCTTTCTAGATGTTATATATCTGAAGGGAAAACACTGAGTAAAACACACTTCATTTATTTAAGTAATTGTTTATTTATTTATTGGTATAGTTGGCTATAGACACTATTTGCCCGGAATGCAGATCGTTACTTCTTTTATTTTAGAAAAGAAAAATGAATTTAAATGTATCAATTAGACAAATTTTGCATCTCCCTCAGGTATTATGCTTAGCTTGACTTGCAGAAGGCATTTATTTTACAGACACACTGAAAGAACACTCCTTCCTATATGCTTTCTCTACAAGTTATTAAAATAACACAGATTTAGAAATTTTTAATTTTCCTTCTGCTTTCATGCCTCTTTAACTCAATCTGTCACACCAACTTTTGTTCTCAGGTAGGAAAACTATCACAAAAAATCATGGTGCATAAATTCAAATGTTTGTTTTTTCAAAGGCTGTAGGTGGGACTGATCCATGCTATGCAAATAAAACTGATTACTACCTTAATGGAATTATTTTAATAAACTATGGCAACTATTTCAAGCTATCAACTTAAGCTACTAGAAACATGTGTGCTTTGACCAATATCTCACTTGTGTGTTGGGGCTTGGAGGAGAAGCTTTTATGCCAAAACACTCCTCCTTCTGATTATTAGTTTTTTTAATTAAATACATAAACTGTTCTAAAAGAACACTCAGAATGAAAGATCAAGGACTAGCAACCTACAAAATGACTAAACTAATGCTACTCATGTAATTTTAATGTATCCCTCCTAAAACATGTACCTAAAATAAATATCTGGTCAAGTATGACAAAGTCACCTGTGAAGAAATCAGGCATAAAATTCTTTCTTGCATGCTTTTTAACTGTATTTTGACAACCACAGAATTTCTTTGTACTTCTGCAAAGCTGTCTCTCATTTTCTATCTGTCCTGAACACTGTGTCAGGCATTAATACTCAGCAAGTTTGGGAATTCGGATTTTAAACAGTCATACCTAAAAGTAACAATCACAATTCTTAATATTCACCTGGTATCAAAACAGAAACAACAGCAACATGAATGGAGGAAGATACTTTCAACTAAGCAAACAGCACTGGAAGTAATATCAACACAGACACTAAGTAAACATTCTCACTTGCAATTTTAAGGTCACTTAAAAGCACTCTGTGACCACATTGCTACCCTAAAATAAATTCAGATATAGTTTTTACCCATTTTATGATCCTCTGATATTCCCAGAACAATTTAAATAGGTGTTGGTTGCCATGAAGATCAAATAAATGAACAACTTACTGATGTAAAAATTGCTTCCATAAATTACTTTGGAAAGAGAGTAAATTATTAAAGTGGTGCAAAGAATAACTGGAAATAATGAAATGACTTCACAAAAAGGAAGACTTAAGCTGAAAAAAGTTACTGATCATCAGATTTAATCAAAAGGTTTTAAGAGAAGCAGCATAACCCTGTAATCAGGAGCAATGAACCCAGCACTACAAAATACACCTCACAGAAGAATCCAATACCAACAGGAGCTGAGATCTGATGACCTAATATGTGTTTTCCACACCTCATTCCTAAGGCACTATAATTTTTCTAGCTGAACAGTGTGCTACTCTATTGTACTGAACAATAAAGAGCATATAACAAAGTCAGATGATCCTACTGAGAACAAACCAGCAATAACCTTCAATAAAAATCTCATGTTGTAGTTGAGGACTTCATATTCATCAACAGATTTTATGTGAAACATGAATATGAACAAAACATTATTATTTCCAGGTTCAACTACCAGAACTCCATTACAAAGGCTCCTTTTTATATGGTACTTTTTATTTGCAGAAAGTGTTAAGAATTTGCATTGCCTTTTAAAGAATACTCTGTAAAGTCACAGATGTAAGCCATGCTGATTACACAGTAGGATTTCATTCATTTTAACCTGAAGGCTATGATTATGCCTCTTATGAGTGCAACAAAGGGTTTCCTGTCCCTGTAGCAAATTTCTTCAATAACATTTGCATTTAACTCAATACTACTAAACACTCATAATGTGTTTAGATTGAGATAAGAAGACGGAAGAAATGTAAAATAAATTGTAATATATGTTTATTACAAAGTTTTCTTATTGATACAAAAGTTTCTGTACACACAAAGACTCAATTATCCATCATTAGTGAACAGAGGGTCAATACCAAATTGAGAAAAAAAAAAAAAGAAAAAGAACATGGAAGCATGTGTATATGTGACGAAAGAAGATGATTTCAGTCAAAATCTTTTCTGACATGAACATGAAACTCAACATGAATCTGCTACAATTCTGCAATAAATCATTGTCTGCAGTTATCAGCACGTTCAGTCTCCACACCAATACCACAAACTCACCCCGCCATACAGAATATAATCACACAGAAAACAGGGAAGTTGTTCATTACTGCTAATTTTCTCTTCTATCCCCATTGTGAGTTCCCAGTTTCCGCTCTCTAGTGATATGTCTTATGGATCTCCATATTATTCGGACTCCAGTTACAATAAAAGTTGCAACTGTCCATGTGAACAACACAAATTCATTTTCAGTTTTGAAAAGGAATGCATGGTTTCTCACATTAATATCAAATATCCAATTTAATACCTGATGACACAGCTCATGTACAATGACCATGGTGACGTCCAGTAGGTATGATATAGAAGAAATGCTTGGATCTAGAAGTATCCTCTGCTCCACAAAAACACTCAGTCCCCAGTTCTCCATAGCAGCATATGGATGCTTAGGCACAGCTAACAGATCTACAAATAAAAAAAATATATGTTAAATCCTGGCGGGAACTACTATGCTGAAGTATTGTAAGGCCATAAATGATCACTAAAAGCATTTTAAATAACATACATGTAAAAAACCTAACCTTGATTTCAGCCCTCAAGTAATGTTATTTAGGAAATATTAATAAAATATTCACTTTTTATCTTATGCCACTATCCGCTCACACATGTTTACCCTGTTACTGCTGTAACACAGTACTTAGTCTTTCTAATTGAAGTTTTCCATACAGAATCCAGCTTATTTACAATACCTTGTTAATTTACTTCTGCATTTCCTACTGCTCCTCATCTTTACTATATCACATCTGTAGCAATACAGACTTACTACAAGCATTCTTTATCTTTTCATTAAGGTGACTCCTTTATGAACACCTAACACATCAAACTTCATGTAAGGACTGAAATTAAGGGGAACACTGAAGAAATAGTGTTTCTTAACCAGAAAGATGGTGAACTGTTTAGAATTGCCATCAGGTAAAAAAAAACACCATACCACACCAAAACAGTGAGAAATGTCTCTCATTGGCATGAGACTGAACAATACCATATTACGATGTCTATCCATGTGCTAGAAAAATCTTACTGCAGAAAAGTGAGAGAGAACTAAAATTGACTCTAAGTCTGGAAATAAATCTAAAATTACAGTAAAATGACATAGGGAATAAACCAATGCACAATGCTGCTTCATGGCAAAAATATCTGAAAGAGCCCAGAAACAACCTGTATGTCTACAAGAAGCCCAGTGCAACCTGTGCACAAATTAGCCAGAATTTTGGAAGCCACGCTGTCACATCAGCATGGTGCTCCCTCCAGTCAAACTAATTAGTCAGGCTTTATAATTAATTAGCCTGGCTGCCACACTCCTCTCATTTGGCTGTACTACCTCTGCTTCCAAAGCTATTTAATTCACAGTTAACATAAGTTATATCTAGGTGGTACTTCACTGGGTGGGATGAAAGGCCTCTGGGTTGACTTCCCAACCTCAAGAAGAAAAACTCTGACCAGCATATTCTAAATGATACTCTAAATTATATCACAGCATTTAGTTTGTCTTTTTTGGCTTGCTGACATTGAGTGGTGGAATTGGCTTGGAAAGCAACCTGACAGCTGGAGCTCTACTTCAGGATTCATAAGAAGTTGCCACTGAAGTATCAGGAATGGAAAACCTGGACATATTCCAGCACTCCTAAAAAGGGCCTGCTGCAAGAAGCATAAAAATACCAGCCTTCTAGTGGAAGTACAGAGAGAGGATAGCAGCTACTTTCAAACACAAGTAAACTGAAAATATCCAAATTGCAGAGACATGCTACAAATGGTAAAGAATAAATATTTTATATCAAGGCAGATGCCAGAACAAGAACCTAATTAAAGAAATAAAGCAAAAATCCAAAACATATTGTTCAAGACTAAACATGCCAGTAAATTCAGAATTACATGCTTTCCTTTTCTTCTCCAGCTGAAGCTCAAAATATACTATTTTTTTTAAATAACAGCAATTTGTTATAAATGACATGCAAAAATAAAAACTCCTGTCTGCTATACAAAGAAGGGATAAGGATGGAAAAAAGGGACACAAAGGCTACTGGGAGACATCACTGAAGTTAATGGGAAATCTTCATTTACATTAAACAGGGATCTCTCCTATTTTCAACTCTCTAAAAAAAGCCATAACTTCTCCCAAAGTGATTACACTTTCATCCAAAAGGCATCTTCAGAAGAAGAATACAGAGAATTTCTGCTCTTCTTTACAATGATTAAGTTTTCAGCAATTCCCCTCAAATAAGCAAAGTGACACTGAAATGTAACCAGCACGAAAGTAAAACCAGTTCCCAATGCTTTTATTTCTTTTCTGTCCTTTGTGCTCATTTGTAGTTTCTGGTCTTTCTAACCAGTCATAATGGACAGATTTTGTGTCAGCCAGTAATAAACTGGAATAACTCTGTGGAACTGGGAAACTAGGGTGAGGTCTCACACTAAACACCTTTACAAGCTAATTATAGACTGGTATTGGCCTGTTGGTTTAGACTTTATAGCATTGATATATCAATAAAACCTGCCAATCTGATGGACAGCTAACTGCCCTGCAGGTAGACAACCACAGTGGGATATTCTAAATCACTTTCACCCAATACATCTCCATTGCTTTGCAAGCCTGGAAATTCCTCTCATGTATCAGCTAATGCTTAAAGGGCTTTTCCAAACAGACAAAACAAAATGTAATAGATAACCCTGTTGGTTTCCTGAATGCTAATCCTTGCAAGTGACATGCTGAATGAATTAGGAGGTGTACTAAAATATATGCACACACTCCTACCTTTTTCTAGTGCAGGGTCTGGTGCACTCCATTTCAGTGCCAAAGAAGAGACTTCATCTCCGGTGACTGACAGAATGGACTCTAAACATACTCACAATCGCAAAATGAGAAATCTTTTGCTTCTCGTTGCCCACATCTACACTCCAAATGTCCAAGTCTTGGTGTTCATTTTTCATTTAGAATTTAAATTCTTCAGTGGTTGGTCTTGATTGCTCCACAAATTTCTACTACCTTTAAATAAAATTCCAAACATGCCTGGTTTTGTGGTAAAAGACACAATAATCTATATCTTTCTCTGGGGAGCCATAAACATTTGATTTCAGAGGAGCACTGAACATTTTTGATGTTCAAGTCTCAGCATGAGAATTTGTATTTCACACCATTAGAGCACTGAGGAAGGTACCCTGTGCTCCTGGAGGTGACATCTGTTAAGGCTTTAGTGTAATTTTTAAGGAGCAAGGTATAAAAGGAGGGGTGATGATGCACATTTTGATAGACAAATCATTCACACATATTACTGCTCAAAAGTGTTCAGCACTAACTGCGAAATGTGAGTTGCTGAATATATAACAGCTTGTGTGCATGCTGCATCCAGTTACTCGGCACACTATTTAATTAAATTCTTTGTAAAGCACTTGTGAATGTTTGATTATGTGGATATTGCTGGGGAAATAGAAATGCGTGTTATTGCTTGCAGAGAATAATATCCTCATATATCATAAAACTGTTACTTGAGATTTCCTGATACAGCAGTGCAGAGAGTCCTGTGTAGTGCCAGAATAATAGAGGATTTCCACCTCTTGGCCTTCACAGAGACTAAATTCATGACCAAGAAGTAAAAACTATACAGCTAAAATAAATCACCAGAAAAGCCATCAGGACAAAAACATGTTGGAACTTCACACTAGCATTCTATACTGGCACAATTATTCAAATATAAGGATAGCATTTGGAAGTTTTTAAATCTATCTCTGCATGAATCTCATGAAAAACATTTCAAGCTACAAAAAACATACAAAGCTCAAGAGCTTCATTTCCAAACACTTAATTACGACATCATAACTATGTAAGCTTACATCAGAATATTACCTGACATTATTAGCAAGTATCATCATAGTGCAAAACAGAAATTAGCAATTTAACACTTAAGTTGGTCACAAAGCACGTCATCATTTGATGCTCTTTTAAGTTAGTTAGTTACACTTAGTATCTTTGCAATTTGAACAAATGATACTGTTTTTAATTTTCTACTACTCAGTTACAGTATTTTCTAGGCACCCTTAAAACCCATTGTTTTAAATCCCCCAATCCACACAAATGGGAACAACACTCTTGCCTTAGATGACAGCAGAGTTAAAACTGAATAGGATTAAATGCAAAACAAGATTTAATTCTCTAATGCAGGGTACCCTGAATTTCAGGTCCTTCCCCCTCCTTTATCATCCTATTTTTCTACAAACATCAAAGCATCTCTTTCTACCACTGCGATTCCACTACGTTTAACCACTTCAGTCTGATGTCTGATGGGGATATTGGTGCAACAGACACACATCGTTACTATACATTTAAATATGAGTGTGTGCATAAACACAGACTTCTACCCCTATGAACATGTTTACTATTACATGCTGCAATTTTATTCGTTTTAACTGCTGGTTGAAATGTGACCAAGGGCTAGATCCTGAAGAACATATGTCAGTATTAAATTTCTAATACTCAAGGTGGAAGATAAAAAGCACCTACTAGGGAAAAGGAAAAAAAAGAATAACTAACTGTGTGAACAATTTTTGCAAATTTTCTGTGTAGTGCATGATAAGTCTCCCAAATAAATCTGAGAGCCCTGAAATACTGCATCTGATAAGAAAACATACAGCGAGAAACAAGAAATTTCTGTCAAGCATCTTTACACATATATTTTCCTTAATAAAACCAGGAGGCACACAGAGATAAAACTGTTCACTCCTTGAACTCCATGTTTTCCTCTTACAATTTCTGGTTTTATTACAAAAATGACACTATAAAATTATTTGAATTTACTTATGTGCCTCTCAACAATGTTATTTTAATTCATTTCTTCAGAGAGGCTTTCTTCAAGATTTTAGGTGTAGATTTCTTGCTACCAAGTATGCTATTTTTCAGACAATAATTTCTACAAATTAAGAGAAAGTATGACCTAATATCAGTTTAGTTTAGTTTATTCCTGACAAATGAAAAAAAAAAAAAAAGGTTTTGCCCTTTCCTAATGCTGCATAATGCAATCAATAGCTTTAGTAAATCTCTCTAAATGTCTTGTGCGATTTCCTAAATGAATGTTGCGGTACAAAGAAAAAGAATTATTTACTAAAAGGTTTTATATTTCTGCCACACAGATTCATTAATCAAAGCCATTTCTTTTACTACAAATAAGTAGATGCTTTCCTGTAACACAATAGCGTTTAAAGATTTACGCAGATTTTAACAAGCCAGCTACAGAAAGAGACAGCTCTGGTTAAAAACCATTAAGTCAAACAGCAGTTACTGTAAGAAATAGCCAAAATTTCTACTGACATACAACCACTGAATACAGAACTTATAAGAAATGTCTACAATGGCTACTGAAAAACTTTCTTTTCTGCACTGTTTTTCTTAGTATACAACAGAGAAGTTTTTGCCA